TATTTCGCGGGAAAAAAGCCAATAAACCTCAAACTCTGTTAATCGATAGTTCATTTCTTTCAATTTCTTATGTTCGATTGGTTGTAGTTTATGATTAACGGTAATTGCAATTTGAATTGAATTACATAGAAAAATATAAATATACTAGACATCACGTTTTCTGTTTATATTGTATCTATTGTACAGATTTTTAATTATAGTTTCAATTCAATTATCTACTTTGTGTATTGTGTAGCAGTTTCATGTTCCGGTTTCATGGCTTGGCTTTACTTTTTTTTGTAACCAACTATTGATTGGAGTTCAAAGTTTTCCCTCCCAGTATTTTGTTATGGAAAATTATTATTAAGAAATCAATTCAATCGAAGCGTTGTATGGATTCATTAATTATTCTTGGCTTTTGAAGGAAATTAAATCGTAATTATGGAAAATGTTTTGTTACACAAAACTTTTGTATATATAGAACAATGGAAGAAGGTATGTAAATGCGTGACTATTGTCGCAACGTGAGTCAGCGATATAAACAATCGATTAATCGAGTCTATATTAGGGGTGCTCAAAAATTCTCAAAAATGTGTGTGAGAGTAACTGAGAATCAACCATATGAAACGTATACAAAGTACAAGCATTTATAAACCGATTTCGATGAAATTTGGTACATCGCATTTATTTGGCCAAAGGACGATCCTTATAAAATTGGTGGAAATCAGTTCAAATTTGGATTTTATGAAAATGATGCACCTAAGCTCCTATATTTCTTTGATTTACACGAAATTGGGCATGGTGTACTGAATTGATTCTAGAATTATGTGTGCTATGTTTTGTGAAAATCGGTTCCGATATAGACATGTATTTTCGTCCGATTTAATGTAAATGATGCACCTAATCTCCTATATTTCTTTGATTTACACGAAATTGAGCATGGTGTACTGAATTGAGTCTAGAATGATGTGTGCAAAGTTTCGTGAAAATCAATTCAGAATTATATATAGCTCCAATATATTTTTCATCCGATTTTATATAAATCATTCTGTAGAAGGTTTCTGCATATATTCATTTTATACTAGATCTCTGAGATGATCCAAAATGATTTTTTCGCAGTAAATTTATGTTTGAAACAACGATTTTTTTCATTTTGTACCAGCTTGGGATTCTGAGCTACTAATCGGTGTGTGGGAAGCATTTTTCGTTATTTTATATAGCTCTCAGAAGGTTTTTATTTGGCCTTCAGGACTTTTTTGACTCGGGATAAGACTATCGTACCTCAATGCGGAACTTGTAAGTAAAGAGTTCAGAACTTTTTAGTTCTGTGTTTGAAATTTTGCAGCTTTGGGTTGAGGGATTCTCAGCCTTGCATTTAGGGGGATTTCAAACCTGAATGCAAAATTTGTAAGACCGTGGAACATTGTGTTCGGAATTATTCATTCTATAACGAACATTTCGTCGCCATGAGCCTTAGACATTTTCAGCTAGTGCTCATGGGCCTAGAATTCGGAATATTTGAAAACTTGACTTCAGTTTTTATTATACTCTAAATAACTATGTTGTAAGTATATTAAAATTTTATGTGAACCAAAAGTTTGTAATGTCGCCAAATATTGGTCCTAGACCCACTTTTTAGTATATTGATCATCATATCTCGGCTAGCGGAGTCGATTCTTACGAATTTTTTGCATTTAGAACGAATTGTGGCCAGAAAAGATTGCTATTTTTTTTTAGTAAAGTTAGGTTAATATTTAGGGGATGATATGGAACAAAAGCATTATTTGTTCTGGTCGCTCTATAGGCCACAATTATGACCTCTCGAAATTTTATATGGGGAGGTGATGTGGTCAAAGAATTAACATGACAGTTTTGATAAAGATCGGCAAATATTTAGCGGGTCAAATGGACCTGATGGACATATACCGGAGAATTGACAATATATGCTAGGAAAACATGATTCGGAAAGATGCCTCAGATGAGCTGTTGAACTTTTATCGGTCAAGAGAGTGCAAATATCCCGAAATATTACCCAGGGTCGAAAAATACATCCGCAGAAACTTAGAGCTCAATGGTAGTTGTATAGGGCATTTTATGATCAGCCCCGTCCGACTATACTGCTCCGTTCACTGGTTTAAACTAGGGTTCTGTTTTTTATTAACACATATTTTCAGTTCTGTTTTTAAAATTGTCGAGCATCGGTTTTAGAATATTTCAATCTTCCCACTAGGACTTTTCAGATTTCTGTGTGCAAAATGTTTAACACCGATGTGAAGGACCTTCCAGACTTGTGTCAGTTATGGGTTCAATATATTGAAATTTGGATTCTTTACTGGGAACATTTTTGCCTCAATATTTTCTACCTTGTTCATAATAATTTTTGTTCTGGACTTTTTAAACCTATGTTCAGAACATTTCAGATTACTATGTTAGAAATTTTCATTCTTGGTTTGTAAGGATGCAATTTTGATTCTGGAAATTCCCGGCATTCCGCCCAGGATTTCTTATTTCTATGCCCAGCACATTTTAGACTTGTGATGGGATGTAAGACCAGGGCTGAGAATTGTTCAACCTTCAGGTTTTAGATCTACATTTGAAACTTTGGGAAATTTTCGGACATGGTGCAGAATATTTTAGACCTGTGTCCTATAGTTTTTAGACTTTTGCCAATTATGGCCTTGATATTGCAGTCATGGGAAAAGTTTTTGTCATATTTTCAGGGTTTGAAATTGTTCAGTTTCGGGTCAAGCAAATTTGTTTAAACATAAAATTTTCGAATTTTTGTTTCGGGGTTCAGATTGTATGAGTCGAAGACATCGTAAACTTAGAGTTCCGAATTTATCAGCCCTGTATGTTGCACTTTGGCGGATTTTGTTCCGAACTTGCAAGTTCTACGACTGGCATTCATCATCTTTTTGGTGGGTAGGAAACATTGTGACAGAAAATCGTCTATATAATATACAAGTTCTATGTCTGAACATAATCCCCATATAAAGGCCCGGCCTATTTTAGATATTTTTTTAATGGGTTTAGGCTGTATTTTGGCATCTTGGGTTTTCATCCCGGGGTTTTCTTTCAATGTAGATCCATTTTTACATAGTCCCCATATACAAGTCCGGTTTGTTTAGATATTTTTGGATAAGGTTAACAAAATTCGTCGCAAAAAAAAAATGTTTGATATGGGTCCATGCTTAGACATAGCCTCCAAAATAAAGTCAAAGTGTATTTAGATGGAATGGCAATTTGGCACTTCGGTTCTAATATAGTCATATAGCCTCCATATACAGGTCCTGCTCTATATTTTTTTTTTTTTTAAACTGGATCTACCTCGCTACGTTTCAACCGGTTTCATAAAGGTTTTTAAGAACATATTTGCAGAATTTTCGGCTTTTGATGGTCTGAAACGCACGGTATATGTCCATATATTGACATAGGGGTCTTATAAGGGTCCCGACCGATTATTTTGAACAAGTAAAAAAGTAAGTTTTCGGCTACACCGACTGCAAAATTATTATCTGATCATCTATGGTAAATGTGGATAGAGCGTATTCCTTGACCATAACTAAACCTCATGGTACATTTCAAATATAAGGTATATGTTTCATTCCAGTATGGTAATGGGTTACTCAATAATATACGTATATAGATACCTGTAAATATTTGGGTGTAACTCCCACATCCGAGCACATACAACTATATAATTGGTATTAATTTAAAGGTCAACCACTCCTCTTGGATATAAAATCAACTTCTCGGGTCTATGTCCATCAGGGACAAATATATACGCTATAGAATACAAATTTTGTCATTTTTCACACAAAAGTCGGGTCCATTTGACCCGCTAAATATTGACCGATCTTTATCAAATCATGCATGCTTATTCTTTGGCCTGATCCCCTTCTCCATGCAAAATTTCAAGATGTTTGAACCATTATTGCGGCCTCTGGAGCGACCAGAAAAACCGACAAAAATTTAGTATTTGGTTCATTTCATCCCCTAAATATTAACCGATCTTTCCCAAAAACAATAGGGGTCTTCATTGGCCAGAACCCATCCTACATGCAAAATTTCGTGAAGATTGGTCCATAACTGTGGCCTGTATCGTGTTTACAAATTATAATGGACAGACGGACGGACACACATGTCTAGATCGACTCAGCTAGTCGAGATATGACGATCGGTATACTTAAAGGTGGGTCTAGGACCAATATTTCGCGGCGTTACAAACTTTTGGGGCTGCACAAAGCTATAATACCCTGACAACATAGTTGTGTATGGTATAAAAATGTTGATTCTTTGTGGGGGAGGTACCAGAAGGAATGGACCAACTCCATTCGCCTGATATTGGATTCATAAATATTGAAAATTTTGACTATTTGTGGGGGAGATCCCAATGGGTTCCATCTTCAAACTTGGTGTAGGTTTGGTAAGGGTTATAGGTTGTGCAAATTTTGGTTCAAATCGGACATTCCATTAGTCTGATATTGTATTTATAAATAATGCAAATTTTGATCCTCTGATCTTCCTACTTGATCTAGGCTTGGTAAAGATAATAGGCTGTACAAAGTTTCGTTAAAATCGGATAGTCCGTGTGCAACGCACGGACGGACGGATATGTGTACATTTTCTGAAACGGATTTGGTCCAAAGAAACATGGGGTCTAAAACCAAAATTTCGATGAGGCACATTTTCACCGTATCAAAGAGTATTTACCCTCATTAGGCATGAGGTGTATAAAAATATCGGCCATAGCGCACTCTATGACTTTTTACATATTATTGGATGACCTTGGAAGTCTTCTACTAGTATTGATATCACTTCGAAGGTCTTGAACTTCAATTTACAAAAGTATATAAAGCATTTACTTTAGAGTATTTTTCAGACCACTTGTCTCAACTGCTTAGCCAAAAAAAGAAGAAAAATCCATCTATTGTTATCTGCAATTTCCATTTACTTTCTTTCACTTTTTCCAGATGCAAAAAAATGCTCCTCGGAATGACAATTGCATTGCAACAACTTACCTCTTCAACTTTATTTTCACTTGCAGACATTGTGGATGTGTTTGTGAATGCAACAGATGCAGTGGAAAACAGCAGCAGCAACAGCAGTTGGAGATGCAATCAAAAATGGATTGTTATGTTCGGTCGTTCGTTTGATGGAATGAACCCACAGTCTGGATTTCTCTTTCAATGGTAAAAATTTCTTTTCTTTTTTTTCTTCTACGAAAAAATTACAGCTTCCAATTTGGAGGTGAGCCAAGCTTAAATGTACACACACACATACACAAACACTATTACACGGGATGTTACGTTGCTCTTTTTTTAAGGTCAATCACACACAGCTTGTTTTTTTTTTGGTTGGATGACTGTTTACAGATGCTGGGTGATGGGGGTTCGATTAAGCGATTGGTTATGGTAACCGGCGTTTTGTTATGCTTCGTTTTCTTGCTTGTTTTTTTTTTTTAATTTTTACAATTATTACAACATCGTCTACATCAATCTAGTAAATGACCCAAGCTCGAGGGGGAAATATAATTAACTGGTTTTAAGGTGATTCATTTGCTGTAGATTTTTTTGTTTTCAAAATTTCACTTTCAACACTTCAAGTGATGGTTTCATGAGCTATGCACTTTTTCTAAAAAAATATATTTTTTATTATTATTTTCCCATAACACACTTATTTGAGATTACCAAAAATATCTGGTCAGTAAATGGACAATTAAACTTAAAACAAAAGCCAATTAAACAATAACCGAAAAAAATTCCAAGTAAAAGTTTATTATGGACCAAAAGTGGTGGTGGCGAACCCTCAGCACTTTTTTTGAATTATTACAGAGCTCTCTTCATAAAACGCTCATAAAAATAACCGTCAAGATCATTCATCAGCTGTTTTACAAAACAAAAAACTCAAAACACAAAACGAGGTTTATATTGCGGTTTTCTTTGACGGCGACTTAAAAACATCCGAACAATTACGCCAGACGACATCAACAATGGAAACCACACGCTCAAGTCAGTCCCAAGTTTTACAAAAAATACGGTTTTATGCGCGAGCTAGCCAAACAGCGTTCTGTTGCACAGCAAAGTTGGCGAACGATTAACTCATGGCGTTTGTTTTCATCGGCTTGTTTGGGAGAGATCTTGTGGCCAAGTCGTATCGGTGCCTCGTATGGGTATGCGAGTGTGTGAGTTTGTGTGCCGGAATGTTGTGCGTTGCTGCAAAAGCTTTTTCTTTCTCGCTTACAATCATCATCGCCAACAGCAATAATCAAATCGCCAGGCATTGCTGTTGATGTTGCCGATCATCAGCAGCTATAAAACATTGCTGGGGTGCCAAGTCCAGCCACAGCTTAAAAGTTTATTTTCGACATATGTACCGAGATAAAGCTTTTATTGCTCGCCATTGGGTTGTATAAAGGAATTTATGAACCATTCAATAGGGGTATTGTAGATTATTTCAATTATGCAGATGAATCGATATGTGATTGTTGTTGTGGTTATTCGTGCAGTATATTGCATTACCTTCGAAGTTATACGTTCACAGTTAATTATAGCCGAAAAAAATTAACAAAACAAATAATCTGCATATATAAATTTATTAAGTAATATTGATGTGGACTGATAACACTTCTTAACAAAATGTTTGGAGGTGAAAATTTACCTCCTGGGGGAATAAAAGACTTTGATAGGTATAAGGTTCGAAAAATGGCGGTTTGCTTCATGCAATTTGACCATACAACCGACTATTTGACAAGAATTGATGATGAACAAGGCCTGTGCTACAACAAAATCATCGACGAACCGGAACACTGGCTGTAGAAATGATAACCGACGAAAGACAACAAGTGAAAAGGCGTTATGTTCGGCCGCGCCGAACTTTGGATACCCTCCACCATAGATATACTGACAGGTAATATAGGGAACATACCAACAATTGGCCTATACCGACATGTCTAAAAACAGATTTTGTAAACCATAATACAAATTTCAGAATTTTTTCATTGATAATTCAAATTCGAAGATGGGGAATATCGGTCCACTGCTTCTGAAAACTCCAAACAGGGGCTAGGTCTAAATGCGGCTATAGTTCATTATCGAACCTTACGTTCTATTTTTTTATCTCGCTATCCTCCGCAGGTGAAATGATTACAACAATGTCTTAGAACCAAACTCAAAACCCGGAACAAAGCAGATAACTGTTTTAATATAAAAAGGGGCGATATATGGGGATCACCCCAAAAAGGGGGTGAATATTATTTATTTTTGGTACAGAGATTTGTTACCATATACGACTACAAAATACCAAATTGCTGCAAATTCGGTTGAAAAACTTGAGCGCGTTTTTCCCCCAAACTCCAAAATACAGAAAATTTGGGGTACCCTTATATGGGGGCTATCCGAAAAAATGGATATTCATATTTTTTTGTGGAGAGATTTGATACCTATTAAGAACTCAAAATACTAAATTACAGTTAAGTCGGCGGAAAAATATGATCAAACGCCCCAAAATACCGCAAAATTAGGGGTACCATTATATGGGGGCTATCCGAAAATATGGACCCATATTTATAATTTTTAGTGGAGATATTTCCTACCCAATAAGAACTCAATGTACCAAATTTCATCGAATTCTGTTGAAAACGCGCTCAAGAACCTCAAAATACTGAAAATTGGGGGGTACCCTTATATGGGAGCTATGCCTAAACGTGGACCGATAAAGCCCATCTTCGATAAAGCCCATCAACTTGACCTACCTGCAGACAAAAGACAACTCTATGCAAAATTTTGGCGATCTAGACGTTTAGACACTAGAGTGATTACAATAGACAGACGGACATGGCTATATCGTCATAGAATTTTACGCTGATCAAGAATGTATATACTTTATATGGTCGGAAATGATTATTTCGATGAGTTACAAACGGAAAAACAAAATTAATATACCCCCCTTACTATGGTGGAGGGTATAAAAAGGCCGTAAGTGCGGCCGGTATAAACTTGTTATATCCTCCACCATGTGGAGTGCCTTAAAAATTTCATAAATAGATCGGGACCTTTATATGGGAGTTTGTTTCCTTAAACTATCTGCTGATAGGAAAACTAGACTAGGAACATGAACATAGAGGAAGTGAGGCTGAACCATGCAAAATATCAAACTGTAACAAAAGTGTTCTGCACCCTTCAAAAATCCGTTTACTTCAGTTTGAAAATAGGTCAAAAAACTCCAAAATACCGAACATGTTTAATTAGCGCCTTATTTAATTTTTCCAAGCCAAAAAAGAACGGAATGTGAAAATACAGTCATTTAAGTTCGGAAATGAGGCTAAATCCTGAAAAATAGCGAAAGTGACAGAAAATTCTCCACTTCTCACCCAACAACCCGAAATTCTAAATTACAGCCCCTTTGGTAAGGAATGCTTCGAAACAAGTGAAAAAGGTGTTATGTTCGTCCGGGCTGATATGAAATATACTTGAAATGAATATATAGGGAACATACCAAAAGTATAAGGCAATAACGTTTTCGATATGTAGCTCTCACCGTTCATCACTAGCTTCGATACATAGGTATCGAATATCAAATTGAATAACTGTCGCAACGTTTGAAATCTACAGCTAATAAGCTTATTTGGATGCAAGGTTCTTTTTTATTATACCCTACACAACTATGTTGTTAGGGTATTATAGCTTTGTGCAGCCCCAAAAGTTTGTAACGCCGCGAAATATTGGTCCTAGACCCACCTTTAAGTATACCGATCATCATATCTCGACTAGCTGAGTCGACCTAGACATGTTTGTCCGTCCGTCCGTCTGTCCATTATAATTTGTAAACACGATACAGGCCACAGTTATGGACCAATGTTCACGAAATTTTGCATGTAGGATGGGTTCTGGCCAATGAAGACCCCTATTGTTTTTGGAAAAGATCGGTTAATATTTAGGGGATGAAATGGATCAAAAACTTTATTTTTGTTGGTTTTTCTGGCCGCTCCAGAGGCCGCAATTATGGCCCAAGAACCTCGAATTTTTGCATGGAGAAGGGGATCGGGCCAAAGAATAAGCATGCCTGTTTTGATAAAGATCGGTCAATATTTAGCGGGTCAAATGGACCCTAACTTTTGTGTGAAAAATTACAAAAATTGTATTCTTTAGCGTATATATTTACCACTGAAGGACATAGACCCGAGAAGTTGATAGTATATCCAAGAGGAGTGGTTGACCTTTAAATTGATACCAATTTTATTGTCGTAGGTACTCGGATGCGGGAGTCACACTTAAATATTTACAGGTGCTTACGTATTCATATATTATTTAGTAACCTATTACCACACTGGAGGGCGGAAATATAGCGCTGATCGCTTTGAAATGTTCCATGAGGTTCCATTTATGGTCAAGGACAACGCCTAAACTGTTAGGTGATGATCAGTCGAAAGCCGAATATCACAACACAACCCACGGTGAAGAGAACCTGGACAAATAATTAGAGGGGCTGTACTGATTATTAGTAACATTTGTTGACCTCTAGCCAGTCAAAAGTGTGCAAATATCGCGAAATATTGCCGAATCTCAGAATATAAAACCACAGAAAGTTAGATTTTAATGGAAGTTGTGTAGGGTATCGTATGGTCGGCCCCGTCCGACTATACTGCTCCGCTCACTGGTTTTATAATATTTCCATACCACGTCGTAATTATTTCGTGTATTAAACCTTTTAAATTTTATAGCAGTATTATAAAAAGTCTTTAATTACAATGTATAAACTGTAGAAAGGCCTATGGGGTAGATTCGGCCATATAAAGAATGTGCTATATTATTTCCTTACATTTTCTGGGTTTGTCTTTAAAAATACTCCTTCAATATGGTTAAATATTACATATATAAGACCAAAATCATACATCGAATTGCATATTAAAACAAAATAGAACCTTTAGAGGATCTGAATTCAAATTAGACTGATAGGATTGATAATTACCAGACTATGCCCATGGGTGTTGAATGTGTCCCATCAAATGTCGAAGTTACAAAACTGTAAAAATTTATAACTAATATCAATTTAACCCTTCACCATACTATGTCTTTGTGGATATGTTTGTAACAGGCAAATGGAAACAAGGTTCCTTTTGAGAGTATGCATATAATCACTTCCTGAGTCGATGTTGATGTTAAGGGGACCCCCCATTCTCGGGGTTAAACATTTTGTTGATATAATTCGAATCTACACTAATTAATGAATGTCCCTACAAAATTTCAAGTGAAAATCTCAAGAATTCTTGGAGCTATTGCCGATTTATTGTGTCAGCATCAAGTGACGGCTGAAGGGCTTCTCAAACTTTAAACGCGTTTTCTCCAAACATTTTTTTTGCGAATGGCGGGACGATAACTCAAAAACCAATAACCCAATCGATTCCAAATTTTTACACGTTTCTCTGTGAGTGTATAGCTATCGTATGAACTAGGATAACGCCAATCGGCGGAGATCTTCCTTATTATACCCTTCACCACTCTGTGGTACAGGGTTTTATGTCTTTGTGCATATGTTTGTAACAGACAAAAGGAAACGAGATAGACACATGGTTCCTTTTGAGATTATGCATAGAATCACATTCTGAGTCGGTTTATGCATGTCCGTCTGTCTGTCGATGTAAAATTGTAAACACAGTACAGGTCGCATTTACAATTCGAATTGGATGAAATTTGGCATAGGTCACTTATTTGGCTCAAGAACGAACCCTATGGGAAAAATCGGTTCAGATTTAGATATAGCTCCCATATATATTTTCGTCCGATTTAATGTAAACGATCCCTAAATCTCTTTCGATTTGCATGAAATTTGGTACAGCGTAATGAATAAGGTCTAGAATGTGTGCAAAGTTCCGTGAAAATCGGTTCCGATTTGGATATAGCTCCGATATATATTTTCGTCCGATTTAAGGTAAATGGTGCACCAAAGTGCCTTTATATGCTTTGATTTGCACAAAATTTGGCTTAGCGTACTAAATTGAGTCTAGAATGATGAGTGGTGAGTTTCAGGAAAATCGGTTCAGATTCCGATATAGCTCCCATATATATGTTCGTCCGATTTTATGTAAATGATGCACCAACGTCCCTATATATCCTTCGATTTGCACGAAATTTGGCACAGCGCACTGAATTGAGTCTAAAACGATGTCTGTTAAATTTCGTGGATATCAGTTGGGATTTAGATATAGTTCTCATTTATATTTTCATCCGATTTTAGGTAAATAGTGCACCAAAGTTTCGTGAAAATCGGTTCAGATTTGGATATAGCTCGCATATATATTTTCGTCCGATTTAAGGTAAATGGTGCACCAAAGTCCCTTTATATGCTTTGATTTGCACAAAATTTGGCTTAGCGTACTAAATTGAGTCTAGAATGATGAGTGGTGAGTTTCAGGAAAATCGGTTCCTTCGATTTGCAGAAAATTTGGCATAACGTACTGAAATAAGTCTAGAGAGATGTGTGTTAATTTTCGTGAAAATCGATTCATATTTAGATATAGCTCCCACATATAGATTATATTTTTAACAACGCGTCGTACCGAATAGCGTGTATCAATTTTGCTATATATAGTTTTCCATAAAATTTCCCCATGTTACGCAGGCGGCTCTAAATCTGCTCGAATGAAATTAGGATAGGTTGGAGAAAGAAATAAAGTACAGGTCACATTTATTTAAGGTAAATGGTGTACCAAAGCCTCTATATATCTTTCGATTTGCACGAAATTTGGCATGGCGTACTGAATTGAGCCTAGAATGATGTGTGCTAAGTTTCGTGAAAATCTGTTCAGATTTAGATATAGCTCCCATATATATTTTCGTGCGATTTTATGTAAATGGTGTAACAGAGTCCCTATATATCTTTCGATTTGCACGGAATGTGGCATGGCGTACTGAATTGAGACTAGAATGATGTGTGTTAAGTTTCGAGAAAATAGGTTCAGATTTAGATATAGCTCCCATGTATACTTTCGTCCGATTTTAGTTTAATCGTGCACAAACTCATAATGTTTGTCCCATTGATACGAAATTTTGCACAACGTATCAAATTGAGACATATCTTCGATATATATTTCGAACGGGACATGAAATTGTTAGGATATATATGAACAATATACCCAAGGTGGTGAAGGGTTTCATATATTGGCCCAGTCCGACTTTACTACTTTCCTTACTGGTACTAGTTTTTAAAACCAAGTATCAGAAGACAAAAATCAGCCATAACGTTGTTATATCTGTTGAATAAATACTGAGATATAGAGCTGTAAAAAATGTGCCGAATATGCCCCAGTCTCACCTACTAGCAATGTCTGTGTAAATTTTCAGAGCTCTATTTGTAATACTGCGATCTCTATCATGATTACAACAGACGGAAAGGCATAAATAAACATAGATTTTCATTCTGATCAAGAATATACACTGGAGGCCAAAACTACAGCAACTGAATTTGTAAACTGAATAAATGACCTGTAACTTTCTGAAAAATAAACATAGTTTTTTCATTGGACACATTGACTTTCGCAGAAGCTCATATCTATCATATCTTCTCGGATGAAATAATGTTTAATATTTAAGGCTCTCAGTGCGTACAGAAGCGGGTGGATGTTTGTACCTTGGACACTTTTTACGTCATAAAAATAAAACTAATTCAAACATGTGTTTCTTCATTTATTGACATGACATAATAATGCCATGATTGAAAGAGAGAGAGAGAGATTCCAAGGAACTATCCAGGAGCCTCCCTTTTTAAAAAAGGGAGAAGAAAGATCCTTCCGCTCAGTGAACTAGGGTGCCCAACTCTATTTCTTATGCTAAGTTTAAAGTAGTGAAAAAAGCTCCGAAGCATGGTGATTGCAACTTTAAGTGTATAATCGGAAGGACCATTAATGTCGACAGCGTTATAGCTATATTGGACCGATAATTTTTCCACAGAGACAACAGACATTCTAAATTATAGCCACTTTCAGAGGGAATATCACCAAAAATACTGAACATTGGAGGTACCATTTTTTGGTCACCTTAACCCCGGACCATAACTTGTATAAAAATAATACACATTAAAATTGTAATTTTATGTATTTTATTTACAAAATGTATTTCAATGATATTGATTTTTGTAAATGGGGTTTACATCTTAATTGGGTTCTAAATCGCTTTACAAACAAATATTGTACGTTGTCATTGTTTTTTTTATAAAATATTAATTGAACAAGTTTTTTTTCTCTCTTTGGAATGTAGTATAAGGTATGTATCTCTAGTCTCTCTCTATATATGAAAATCATCAGCCAAAGTAGCACGATTATAACGTGCCGCACCCGGATTGACACGATTCAAAATGCCAAAGCAACCGCGACGATAAATCACCAAGGCACCCAATGTCACGGGAATACCGATAAGGACACCCACCAAGATGCTAATCAAAATGACACCATCATTACTGGGATGATTGGTATTTTCACAAATCAATTGTTTATTATCGGTGGAGAGTTGGAGCAGAGATTTACCCTTCCAGGCTTCGGGTGTGGCACACAAAACTTCAGGAGCCAAGGGTGCAGAGGTGGTATTAATTTGTTTGATCAGCGTATGGATGAGATAACGATTATTGCAATCACAAGCCCACGGGTTGAAACGTAAATCCAAGGTGGTAATTTGATCCCAACGTTGGAACCAATTACGCTCCACCACTGAGAGATTATTGTTGTTCAGATAGAGCTGAGGATAGAAAGGGGATAAATAATTAAAAATAGTGTATCCAAAGAGTTATTTCATTAGCTTACCTGTTTCAATGGTGGATAGACAAAAATTTCTGGATTTGCTGTGTTCTTGGTAAAGGCCAATTCATGTATCGAAGACAAATGGGGATTGTCAGCGGCAATTAATGTTGTCATATCTTTAAATGATAGAATAATAAATGTTATTAATATATTTGAAATTTTATTTAGCGTGGCTTACTTGTGAAAACATTCAGGGCTCCTGGACCAATCTTGGTGGTATCCGGCAAGAACGAAATACTCAAATATTCCAAAGTGTTAAGATTTTCAGTGAAGCTGAAAGTAAGAAGAGATGAGAGTCATAATGAGAGTAAGAGAGAAAGGGGAACAAATTATTATCTCTTAGGATATCGCATATAAAGAATTTTCCAACAAAAAGCTTTTTTGAATTACCCTGCGAAAAATAAAACCCGTGAAAGTCACTCAAGAACAACAAAATATATTGCTGCTTTAGTGCAAAGTGTTAAAGAAACCCCAGTGTAACCAGACTAGGCCAATAATTTAGTTCTATAGTTTCTTTCAGTTCAATCATTCAATGGTACACTGGTCAAAAGGAACTAGATGGGCCAACGAATCGTGACATTTGCAGAATAATTTCATTGAAGTAGTACGACCTGGAACGATTCAACACAAATACGTTGGTTGTATAGAATTTTTTTTTAAATGCTACCCATTTCAGTGGCTGAATAAAATATTTATTCTACAGTTCCTTTTAGTTCAATCGTTCAATGACACAGGTCATTTCGGTCAATGATCGAGAAGATCCAGATGAATCATTGGATGAAAGGGAAGTAGGTGGAAGAGAACAATAATAAATAACTAGAGCAAAAGGAACTAGGTGGACGAATGAATTGGACGGTTTAATTTTCCAAGATTACCTGTTCAACACAGAGACTTCGTTTTACTGTTCCAACACAGATGCTTTGGCGTACTGTTCCAAACAGAGACTTCGGTATCTGTCATCTAATTTGTGACGCGAATTTATGCACTAACGAGGTTCCTACTGTTCCTATCTACTATCTAGCGAAACCATATCCAAGAGAATGGACTTAGAATAATTTGCGGGAAAAGAAGACTCTGTTGAGCTTGACAGGGACTTGGGTTTAATTTTCCAAAACAGAGGCTGCGGCTTACTGTTTGTGCGAGTTTTACCCGATCATCACACGATTACCGATTCCTATATTCGTTAAAAAGTCGTAGCTGTAATATCCAATCCCAAAATCAAATATTATATAAAATGTAAGCAGGTCTCAATCTGTAAAGCTTTATGGGTCCTTATGGAGGAGTAACATAGTGTAATGGGAATACAATTTGAAAAAAGAGGCTTTAACTGAAATGAGACCGAAGCCTCCTGATAACACAAAACAGGAATCCAGAGAAATATACCATAACTAAATAAGCTGGGACTCCAATCACTGCACAAAATTCAACACGCCGTTATTTCCAGGAAACAAAAGATGGCAGCTTCAACTAGGACAGGTTCTTCCAGAAAAAATCATACTATTTAATTGGAAGAACACTGTGAAATGATTAACGACAATAAAACAATGACGAATCGAGTAAGACGGCGGTAATTCGTGGAAGTCAAGCTCTATGCCAGCAAGAGGAGTATTAAATAATACATAAATATTGGGGCTTGTAAATTTCACCAACAACATCGCCATCCAGAGAAAAATGACTAGACTATACTAAGAAGTGACCCCAAGCACTGCAAAAATTCATGGGAGCGTTGTTTCTATGCAACGATAGATGGTAGTCCCATGACCTGGGACAGGATATATCAGACCAATCATCTATTTCGCTGAGAGAAAAAAACAATGAAATTTTGAACAAAACTATCACAAGCATTAATTGAAACAGATGGCGTTGATGGGGAACCCTGGGCACGACTGGGCTTAAACTCGGGCAATGAGAAAACCACCAGTTTGGTCCATTCCCTGTCTTGTTCTTTGAAATTGGGTATTCCACAAATGTCATTACACCGTCCTGGGACTAACATTATACCATTTTCTTAACCCAGTGGGTTTTAATTGTCAATTCCATTGTATATATGTCAAATAAATCCTCATTATGTAGGTTAACCCGGTATAAAGTTTTAATGTACATGCCGTTTAAAGTTCTATTAACACAAGATCTCAAACAGATCAATAATTAACAATGTAGTGTATTGGCTGATTGGGTGCTTAAAATTCATGAAAATTATACTGAGATCTATTGAAAAATCATCTTGACTGATTAAGCCCATTTTCACCTCGGTGTCTAAGTGAACAAGCAAAATTGGAGCAACTGTGACACGGAAGATTAAAGGGTTATTGTTGAAAATCCTCTCCATCTTCAAGGTGAAACCGTTCGTAGGTTTATGGTCAGGCGTAGTCATTGGAGATTGACTTTAAGCTCATAAGGTTCGGTTTACTAGTTCCCGGACGATCTTACTCGTTCTTTTCTGCTTTTTTTCGCTCACGAGTTCAAATAAAGGAATTATAGGAACTAAAGAATTGAACATAGTTTCTATCGTTCCTTTATCGGAATAGTTCCAATGAACTAGTTCGTTCCCGAACTACCTAACTCTATAGTTTATACAAGAACTTATACATGGCGATCATGAACAACGACCTGTTATTGCTGATTGGGTTCTAGAAGAGCATGAAACGCATGAAAAAAGAATTCATCGAAAAACCACCTAGACATTGAATGGCCCCAGGCTCATTTTCCCCACACATTTTGCCACATTTTTCAGTTTTGGAGAAATTTTTCCCGCCAAATTTAAGGAATTTTTATGGTCCTGAGCTAATTTTTCAACCAAAGTGAATTAAATTTTATATTCTGTGTTCTTAGAGGATGAAAACACTTCTTCGCAGAAAAAAATTATTCGATGTAGATCCACTGTTTGGAATAGCCCGCATACGATGATATTTAAAAGGTTTTAGCCGAATTTCCCCATCAATGTGGCTGTAACTTGAAATTTCGGGTACTTGTAGGGTGAAAAACATCTTTCATACAATTTGCGATTGATACTTTGGTCCATGTTTTGATACAGACCGCATTTAAGGGTACCAATTTTTTTGTATTTTGGATGCCCATCTTATGGTTGAGGATAAAAAGGATAGATCCCATAGTGCTTACTTGTTTTTCAGTATTAAAGTCATCCTTCCTTTTTATACCCTGCACAACTATGTTGTCAGGGTCCTAGACCCACCTTTAAGTATACCGATCGTCATATCTCGACTAGCTGAGTCGACCTAGACATGTGTGTCCGTCCGTCCGTCTGTCCATTATAATTTGTAAACACGATACAGGCCACAGTTATGGACCAATCTTCACGAAATTTTGCATGTAGGATGGGTTCTGGCCAATGAAGACCCCTATTGTTTTTGGAAAAGATCGGTTAATGTTTAGGGGATGAAATGGACCAAAAACTTTATTTTTGTCGGTTTTTCTGGTCGCTCCAGAGGCCGCAATTATGGCCCAAACACCGTGAATTTTTACATGGAGATGGGAATTGGGACAAAGAATAAGCATGCCTCATTTGATAAAGATCGGTCCATATTTAGCGGGTCAAATGGACCCTGACTTTTGTGTGAAAAATTACAAAATTTGTACTCTATAACGTATATATTTACCTCTGAATGACATAGACCGAAGAAGTTGAAAATATATTCAAAAGGAGTGGTTGGCCTTCAAATTGATACCAATTACATTGTTGTATGTACTCGGATGTGGGAGTTACACGTAAATATTTACAGGTGCTTACGTATTCATATATTATTTAGTAACCCATTACCACCCTAGAAGGCGAAAATATAGCGCTGATCGCTTTGAAATATTCCATGAGGATCCAGGTATGGTCAAGGACAACGCCAGTAATTTTCGGTGATTATCAGATAATAATATTGGGATTAAGTGGACCGAAAACATAATATATTTGGGTTTTTTTCGAGCCATCTATAGGCCACAATTAAAATCCGAACATAACAACACAGCCCACGTTGGGGGTCAAGAGAGTGCAAATATTGCCCAAGATCAGAATATAGAACCACACTAAGTTAGATTTTCGTGAAAGTTGTGTAGGATATCATATGGTCGGCCCCGTCCGACTATACTGCTCCGCTCACTGGTTATTTTTTGAAATTAACATTCATTTGAAAATATTTTCATTGAATATGAAAATAAAACCTCTTAATGGAAAACCCTGTATTTTTCCTCTTTCTATATTTTTTGTATTTCGAAATTTTACTTACTTTCCTTGAACAAAATCACCGAAAAGATTTTCATCCAAGACCAATTTCTTCAGATTCTTTAACCATTTTAAGGCCACTGGAACTTGGCGTAATAAATTACCCGACAGCAATAATGTTTCCAATTTATTGGGGCTGTGGAAGATGGTTTCTGGTATATTCGTCAATTCCATAAATGACATATCCAGAGTCTGAAACACAACGAATTGGGTATTTTAATTTCATATATCCAAAAAATATATATACCCCAATATTTACCTTCACCGACGACAAACTGGCCAATGCCACCAATGTCGATGTGTCAATAACTTGGAAAACATTTTCACACAAAATCAATATCTCCAAATTTGGCAAATGTTCGAAGACATCAGCATGCAGCGAATGCAATTCATTGTGTGCCAAATCCAATTCAATCAACGAATTTATAGGTTCATATTTATCCTTGGAATATTGTCCCTTAAAGACATCGGGATGTAGAGCTTTCTTCCTTAAGTTGTTGTGCGATAAATCCAATTTGGTTAATTTTGTCAAATTTTGGAACGCCCCCAGGGTGATGCTATTAATTTGATTAAAGCTTAAATATAAATTCTCCACAGGATATTGAGGTAGAATGGGTATTTGGCTGATGCTGTTGTTGTTCAATTTCATTGTCGTGAAAATCACATCACCATTTATCAGGGTGTTCCATTCATCTTTGGTGAAGAGCGTGGACATGGATTTGCCACTGCAATCGATTTGAAAGTATTCCACATCACATTTACATTTCTTTTTGCATAAATCACTTTCGGCAATTTTTATTTTTGGCTGGAAGAGAGAGTAAGTGATGAAGTGATTATTTAAAGCATACTTTTAGGGGTACAAAGGAAAATAATTGTAATATTCATGGGAATGTTAAAATAGTAGGGTGGTAATGTTAAATCGTTGTATTATTTCTATTTTAAAGCATACTTTTGGGCATATAGGAATTCATAAATATGGACCTTTCCATTTCATATCTAACGAAGTGGCTATTAATTTTGCTCGAGAGAAACGACAGAAAATCGTTAAAACTTCTTTCTGTTAATTAGAACAAAACATATACCTTTAATAGATTCGGAATTACAATTTTGCAACAAAAAAATATGTCATATTGTGCTTTCGAATCTACCAAGAATTATATTCTTCGAATTTTACTTCGAAATTCCCAGAATATCTAATTTTGTCTCTGTTTTTTTTTCTAAGAACTTTCTTCCGAATTCGAACCCTATTTTTTGTAAAGTCAATACTTTTGAAATTTTCATAAATTTTGTCTCCGAACTTCCCAGGAGTTATGATTTATTTTAGGAAATTTAAATTTTACACCAAAAATCCCAAGAATTTTCTTCCGAATTCGTACCGATTTTTTTATCAAATCCAAATTTTACTTGGAATTTCCTTCCGAATTCGTCGGGAAACTCTTATGTTTTTTGTTTTGTTTCGAATATCATTCAACTTTGGAAGGATTTACTTTGGATTTCGCACCGAATTCTTTCAGAAAAATTTGAATCTTGACCGAATTTTTTCATAAAAGCTAAATGTTTTCTCGGAATTGCCGATAATTTTCTTTCGAATTCGGGCAGATTTCCTTCAGAAATCTAATTTTTCTCTGAAATTTCATACAAATTCGTATTGATTGTTTTTATAAAATCTAAATTTTTCATCCAAGAATTTTCTTTCTCTCCGAATTCCCAGAATTTCTTCCCATTTCATTTGGACGCTCAGTTTTTGTTCGAATTTACATAGGATAACACTCTGATCTCGGATTTTTTCTCCATTTTCCCCAGAGTTTTCTTCTGATTTAGTCCCGAATTTTATTCAGAAAATCTAAATTTTTTCCAGTTCCCCGAAATTTTCTTTCAACATCCAAACATCCCAAGAATTTTCTTCTGCATTTTTTTCGATTTAGGATTGAATTTTTTTTATAAAATCTATTATTTTCAAAATTCCCAAAATATTTCTTCCTTATACGTTGTGAAACTATACTTTTTCGAATTTACTTCGGCAAACATTTCGATTGTTGAGACCAGGTCCAAACAACTATTGTATCGAAATCGGAATGAAATCAGAAAATTGTGCAGAGATTCGGACCGAATTCGAAATTAATTTCTTTCTCTTATTGAGGAAAAAGGCTGTTTTCATCTTTACCATGAAAGTATCCGATTTTATATCGAATTCTCGATGACGAACGAGGAGGAGTATTCATGGCCTTTTTCCTCGTCCATCAAGGAGAATAACATCCAGGGTGTCGCCTTTAGCGGACTTTAAAGGTCATAGGTGAGGTGGTCATTGCTTTTGTGGCAGCCAACAATGAACGGAGAGATACCACATCTGATACCTCCGATCACCAAAAATGTAGAAGAAGCAATGGACAAAAATTCGTATCGAAGAACAATGGACTATTCCAAATGGTGAGCTAATAAGGGCCCAACTACAAAACAAATCAAACATAAGGTATTCAGGTCAATAAAATTCGTAAAACCCGTAGAAGCAGAAAGGGTGTACAATAATTATTGGGCTTCGGCGAACAAGTGAAAGCTCTATCAAACTCTATGAATGTTATATGCACGCCATTCCACATATGTATGTAAGACAGATCCAGTAATCGAACAATTTAGGTGCCTCTTGACCTATCGAAGATTTTCGATAGGCCGTGTTTGAAACATTGGATATTCAGCTATATGCGAAGAAGGTAGTTATTGTGAAACGTGAAACAGGGGGTTCCCCAGAGTGGGGTGAACTACTAAATTTCTTTTCATGTTCGACAATCAACGGCTCCCATTATTAATGACATATGTGCAAGGAAAAATGTCTACATATCTGATCTTGTGAGCTTTTTTCTCATCTGAATATAAAAAGTATTCACCACCATATCCTCAGCCACACTTTTCCCCACTTGATAGCATAATGGCAGATCAAGAAAGTATTTCGACAACCAACTGCCACAAGATATTAGGTGAAACGTTTTTATATCCTTTTTATATGAGGTATTAGGGCGATGACAAGGAGACCTTGGCGACCTCATATGAAGCAATATACAGGTCAGTGCGCAGTGAAAGAACATTCATACCAGCCAGAATATCGCCATGAGAACTACATAGGGTGCCATATCTTCGGGCGAGTTCGAAGATTAACAATGAGTAGCTCATAGCTATCAGATCTAAAGTGTTCAGAATATAAATCAACAAAAGTGCCTTTGCTTATAAGTGAACTTGACGGACCATTTCAAAAAACGAACGAACTTGATTCGTTAGGCAGATCCTCAACATTGGTAAAGGAATGCGCATCAGGAACCACGTTTTGACAACCGCGCCTATGTTGGATCGAGAATTTATACCCTTGAAGCTTTAAGGCCAATCGAGTTAATTGCGTACTGAGATCTGTTTAGGATATGAAACACTTCAATGACGCATGACCAGTGATTAGGGTGAACTCATATCCTTACATATACGCTCTGAATTTGTTAATGCTGAACATTGCTGTTAAGCCTTCCTGTTCGATTAATGAGTAGTTACGTTTGGCTTAATTGAGTTTCTTTGACATAAAGGCAATAGGATACTTCTCATCTCCTACATCCTTCTGAATTAATATAGATCATACTCGTCCGCCGAAACAACCAAATATTATCGATTCGATACTTACTTGGGTGTTATCGCTGGGAATACCCTTGCTATAGCCTTATGGACAGACTTCTCATAAGTCAGCGATATGACATTATAGAAATAAAATCATAATAGTCTTAGGTCCTGATCCTGATTGGTAATAAAATTAATTGGAATATAAAAAGTTCGGACCATCTCTTTATACCCTTCGCCACACTGTGGTACAGGGTATTATGTCTTTGTGCATAGGTTTGTAACAGCCAAAGGGAAACGAGATAGACACATGGTTCCTTTTAAGTCGATTTATGCATGTCCGTCCGTCCGTCCATGTATTTTTGTTAACAAAGTACAGGTCGCATTTGTGTTCCGATTTGGATGAAATTTGGCACAGCTCACTTATTTGGCCCAAGGACGAACCCTATTGAATGACATGAGTATTTTTCTTCGAGGGAACATTCACATGCAATTGTAAGGATACATAGATACAATATACCCAAAGTGGTGAAGGGTATCAAATAGTCGGCCCAGTCCGACTTTACTACTTTCCTTACTGGTTATACCCTACACAACTATGTTGTCAGGGTATTATATGGTCCTAGACCCACCTTTAAGTATACCGATCGTCTCGACTAGCTGAGTCGATCTAGACATGTGTGTCCGTCCGTCCATCCGTCTGTCCATTATAATTTGTAAACACGATACAGGCTACAGTTATGGACCAATCTTCACGAAATTTTGCATGTAGGATGGGTTCTGGCCAATGAAGACCCCTTTTGGGAAAGATCAGATAATATTTAGGGGATGAAATGGACCAAATACTAAATTTTTGTCGGTTTTTCTGGTCGTTACAGAGGCCACAATAATGGCCCGAACATCGTGAAATTTTGCATGGAGAAGGGGATCGGTCCAAAGAATAAGCATGTCTGTTTTGATAAAGATTGGTCAATATTTAGCGGGTCAAATGGATCCTGACTTTTGTGTGAAAACCTATAATTTTCGGTGATGATCAGATAATAATTTTGGAATGATGTGGACCGAAAACTTAATTTTTTGTGTTATTTTCGAGTCGATATATAGACCACAAATGAAATCCGAACATCACAACACAACCCACGGTGAAGGGAAACTGGACAATAGCTGTACTGAATACTCGTAATATTAAATATGTCAGTGTGAGGAAGAGGTGCTGTTTACCTCTAATCGGGCAAGAGGCTGCAAATATCACGAACTATTGCCCAAGCTCGGAATAAACATCCACAGAAAATTTGAGTTCCGTGGTAGTTGTGTAGGGTATCGTATGGTCGGCCCCGTCCGACTATACTGCTCCGCTCACTGGTTTTTTATTACATTTTTAAATTCACATAAATTTTGTAAAATATTTTATTAGCAGGACATTTCTATTTCTATATCATGTTAAATGATTAATTTTGGAATATTTTAGTTTCAATGTTGTCATTATCAAATTTATTCTACCATCGATCATTTAGCTGTTAACCAAAATTTATCGCTGATTTTAATAGCTTTAAATAAAATTCTTTTATTGATATAAACATGTTCATGTTCTGAGTCATAACGACTATGTTGGGTTGCTAAAACATATGAATACATTGATGTTTTGTAAATTCCTGATATGAATTAGTGAATAAAGTTACCCTGAAGGAAACTTCGAGTGTTGTATCGATCTGGAACCATATATTGGGCTCTATGATACTGTAATGACAAGTTGGGGACTCTGCGGCTGGAAAATGCCCAAATGCCGTTAAAATGTCTAAAATTTATGGAGTTGTATACATATTGCGGGAACTTTATATGGAGATAATCCAGAACGTTTAGGGGCCCATACACTATACATCATGCCGTATAGCATTTATCATAGTATGTGTTATTTTTTGAAAGTTTATTTATGTATGTGTGACACACACAATGCATGAAGAAAATCGAAATATTTTTGATTTTGAAAATGAAACCCTATCAATCTGGTGAATAAAATTCATTTTGAAAGTTGTCAGTAAATAATTTTGTGTACAAAAGTAATAAAATTGTGACGGAATAAAAAAACAACTTAATTTACGACTCAAAATTCATTTTTTTGGACAAAAATCGATTTTTTTGGAATAGTGATTGAAGAGTTTGCCATACACTAGTCAATCTCACATATAAAACAAGTGAAAAAGCGTTAAGTTCGGCCGGGCCGAACTTTGGATACCCTCCACCATAGTTATACTGAGAGATACATGTAATGAAAATATGGGGAACATACCAAAAAGTGAGTATTTACCGATAATTCTACAAACCGATTTATGTAAACCATTATGTACACCAAGTACAAACTTCAGAAATTTTTAATGGTGATTTTTCCTAAAATCTGCAAGATCCAAAAAGTGGACTGATACTGATAGCGCATGGTAGAGTATAAAATCCTCAAACTACTGTAATTTAGATAACAAAGTTATATGAGGCTATACGTAAAGGGGGACTAATATTGATTACATAGTGTAGGTAAATGGTGAATATTTGGGGATATCATTATATGACGGCTATGCCTAATTAATGACCGGTATATGCCAATATTGAACCCAATATTTTAATTGTTTATCTCAATTCTTTCCTTCAAGAGGTATCACTATATTGAGGAGATGCCTAAATGTCTGCCGATATATTTCATTATCGTCGTGTTTGAAGTTTCTTTAATCACAATACCTTTAGAAGGCGGAATGCTTGCAACAGATGGCTAAATAGTCTTTGTAGGGTAAAAATTGACTATTCCCTGTAACGACTACCCAACCGCAACACACGGAACAAATCATATGCCTATTTTAATATAAAAAGGGGGTTATATGGGGACTACCCCTAAAAAGGGGTGAATATTAATAATTTTTGGTGGGGAGATTTGTTACCATATACGACTACAAAATACCAAATTTCAGCGAATTCGGTTGCAAAACGTGCTCAAGAACCCCAAAATACCGAAAATTGGGGGCACCCTTATATGAGGGCTACCCGAAAATATGGACCTATATTTATAATTTTTTGTGGAGAGATTTGATACCCAATAATAACTGAAATTACTAAATTACAGCCAATTCGGTGAAAAAACCCGGTCAAAACCCCCAAAAACTGGAAATTGGGAGGTACCCTTATAAGGGGGCTACCAGAAAAAGTAGACCTATATTTATAATTTTTAGTGGGGAAATATGGTACCCAATAAGAACCCAATGTACCAAATTTCAGCGAATTCGGTTGAAAACCGCGCTCAAGAACCCTAAAATACCGAAAATTGGGGGGTACCCTTATATGGGAGCTGCCCGAAAAAATTGACCTATATTTATAATTTTTAGTATAGAGATTTGCTACCCAATAAGAAATCAAAGTACCGAATTTCAGCGAATTCGGTTGAAAACCGCGCTCAAGAACCCTAAAATACCGTAAAATTGGGGGTATCCTTATATGGGGGCTATCCGAAAATATGGACCCATATTTATAATTTTTAGTGGGGAAATTTGGTACCCAATAAGAACCCAATGTACCGAATTTCAGCGAATACGGTTGAAAAACGCGCTCAAGAACCTCAAAATACCGAAAAATGGGGGGTACCCTTATATGGGAGCTATGTCTAAAAGTGGACTGATAAAGCCCATCTTCGAACTTGACCTGCCTGCAGACAAAGGACGACTCTATGCAAAATTTTGGCAATCTATCTCAATTCGTTTAGACGCTAGAGTGATTACAACAGACAGACGGACAGACGGACATGGCTATATCGTCATAGAATTTTACGCTGATCACGAATATATGTACTTTATAGGGTCGGAAATGATTATTTCGATGTGTTACAAACGGAAAAACAAAATTAATATACCCTCCATACTATGGTGGAGGGTATAAAAAGGGGTTCATCGGCATGACGGCATGATGTATAGTGTATGGGGCCCTTTAGATTATGTCGAAAAAATAAGAAACCGAAACTTCATATTAGGGCTTCTACGTTTGGAAAATATGGCTAGGAATTCTCATATATCTAAAATCGGTAGACCTATTATGCAAGTGGGTTACGACGCACCTCCCATATCTCTAAAATCTATATGGTGGCCATGACAAAAAGTGGTCCTATATTCAACATATCTCTGAGAATCCGATATGTCCACTTCGGTTGATCAAATCCGGCAAGGATGATATAAATATATTTTATTTTAAATACTAAACATCGTAGGAGTAGTCGCAATACTATGGTGTTGTAATAACCTCCACCTTACGGTGGAAAATCTTCCTATCAAAAATAATTGATATTGTTCCAAGTTTCGATATAGCTCCCCCAATTATTCGGAAACCCCAATTAGTCCATGTTCAGGAGATTTTAGGTAAGTTTTTCAACCTCTCATTTGAACCCCCCAAAAATTATCTATGCCCTCCAATTTATACCCTCTAATTTTTTTCAATGAGTGGGCTCAAATAATATTCCGATTCCTTATTGGGCGGTACAAAAAAATTAAAAAATGTCGGTCGATTTTTTATTAAAGCCCAATTCATTGAAGGTCCTTTTCGCTATGATTTTGCTTTTGGTGGCCAAATTTTTCAAACTAAGTGTCCGCACTTTGGTTTTTTTCCTGGTACAATTTGGCATGACATAGCTCCTTTATAAAACTAGTAAGGAAAGTCCAAAAGTCGGACAGGGCCGACTATATGATACCCTTCACCACAGATAGAATAGACATAGGATCTTTGGGGACCATTAACATGGAACATTGAAACTTCGCATACACAAATCTGGACCTAATTCAGTACTCTGTGCAAAATGTAGTCTTAATCGGACAAATATTGCATGGTGCCCCATTTACATAAAATCGGACGAAACTATATATGGGAGCTATATCTAAATCGGAACCGATTCCAACAAAACTTCGCATACATATATTTGGACATAATTCAGTACGCTGTGCAAAATTTTGTCTCAATCGGTCAAATATTGGCAGTATGGAAGTCATATCTAAATTTGAATCGATATCAAAACCAGTGAGCGGAGTAGTATAGTCGGACGGGGCCGACCATATGAAACCCTACACAACTTCCTCGAAAATATAATATTACTAATATTCAGTACGGTCCTTATAATTAATTGTCCATATTGCCTTCACCGTGGGTTGTGTTTTGATGTTCGGCTTATAATTGTGGCCTATAGATCGATTAAAAACCAAAGTTCTCGGTCCACTTCAACCCAAAATTATAATCTGATCATCACCAAACAATTTAGGCGTTGTCCTTGACTATAACTGGAACCTCATGGGACATTTCAAAGCGATCAGCGCTATATTTCCGCCCTCCAGTGTGGTAATAGGTTACTAAATAATATATGAATACGTAAGCACCAGTAAATATTTAAGTGTAACTCCCACATCTGAGTACCTAGGACAATATAATTGGTATCAATTTAAAGGTCAACCACTCCTCTTGGATACACTATCAACTTTTCGGATATATGCTATAGAATACAAATTTTGTCATTTAGGTTAAAATTTAGGGTCCATTTGACCCGCTAAATATTGACCGATCTTTATCCAAAAAGGCATACTAATTCTTTGGCCCGATCCCTTTCTCCATGCAAAAATTCGCGGTGTTTTGGTCATAATTGCGGCCTCTGGAGCGACCAGAAAAACCGACAAAAATAAAGTTTTTGGTCCATTTCATCCCCTAAATATTAACCGATAATTTCCAAAAGCAATAGGGGTCTTCATTGGCCAGAACCCATCCTACATGCAAAATTTAGTGAAGATTGTTCCATAACTGTGGCCTGTATTGTGTTTACAAATTATAATGGACAGACGGACGGACGGACACATATGTCTAAATCGACTCAACTAGTCGAGATATGACGATTGGTATACTTAAAGGTGGGTCTAGAACCAATATTTCGCGGCGTTACAAACTTTTGGGGCTGCACAAAGTTATAATACCCTGACAACATAGTTGTGTAGGGTATAAAAACATCAGGGACGTTTCAATACGTTATGCAAAATTTTGTTTCAATCGGACAAACATTGGCAGGATGGTGTTCCATTTACATAAAATCGGAAGAAACTATATATGGAAGCTATATCTAAATCCGAACCGATTTTCTCCAATTTCATTATGCTTCGTCCTTGGGTTAAATATGTGACATGTGCCAAATTTTATCCAAATCGGATCATAAATGCGACCTGCACTTTGCTCACAAAAATACAAGGACGGTCTCAGAAAGTGATTCTATGCATATTCTCTAAAGGAACCATAGTTCTATCTCGATACGTTTTGCATGTTACAAACGGTATAAAGGTTCAGACCTATTTTAATATTTTTTAGGCCGTACCAGGTGAAGGTTATACAATGTTCGGTTTAGCTGAACTTTATGTTTTTTTTTTCGACAAAATATAAAAAATTATGATCTTAAACATTTATTTTCCTACTTACCTTTGGTGTAGTGACTGGCGCTTTCGTTGTGGCAGGTTTGGTTGTTGTCGAAGTGGAATTATCATTGGCCAATGGTACAGCTTTTTGGGTGGTGGCTTCAGCATTGACATACAGGGAATTCAGGTTGCAAACCAAAAAGCAACACACCGCGAAGGTAATTAAATGCCATGGACGATGCATTTTGATTCTGATTATTGATATTGGGTTACTCCAATAAATAATGGTGGCCTTTGTTCAATTGAATTGGGACAAATACGTTTTGCTGTTGTAAAAAAGAAGTAGGGCGGAAGTAAAGGCGTCAGAGAGATTTACCAAAAATAACACACATTTAACACACTTTTCAATCTATTATTAACAAATATGTACCACATAAATTTAGTTCGGGTTTTTTAATTGATAGTGTCGAACACACACATATGCATGAATTTTTTGACATAAAAAAATAATAACAGTTGATAATGACTCAACTAGTCGACGGGTAAAGTGTTAGCGACTTGTTGTTATCATCATAAATAAGCCATTACTTTGAATGATCTTATCACATTGCCTATACTTTTTCACATATACACACTGATACACATACTCATGCATGCGCACACATCCAGTTATACACACTGCAATCGATTTGATTATTGTTGGTATATTTTGCAGGTGAAACAACAACAAAAATAGACAACAAAAGTTAATAAAAAAAACTTTATCAATTTCGGTAAACACTTCGCCGCTTTTGGCCACTTCAAAGTGATTTCACAATTATATTTTTTACATTTTATTTTAAAATTCAGGAAAATTACAAAAAAAAAAAAATCCAATTCAAAATCAAATTCCAAAAAATGTTTTAGAATAATTTATATGTCACACTCACATTCGTTACACTTGTAATTACAAATTCCTTTGTTGGCTCTGTTATAATAAAAAAATCTGATTCCCTCAGGAATTTTTTTCGGATCTCACAAAAACTTCACAACTTCTCTAGAAAACTCACTTCACCAGCCAACCAACAAATAATAAATAAATGAGAAAACTTTTTCCACAATACGAATTATATCCACGCAATGAGTTTCAATGCTGTCTTATCAGCAGCACTATTTTTTTGGTGTGTTATCTTATCGCCACAAATTCTCTGGGTCTCGAAATCAGGTGCAATATCTACATTAATCGTTTGGAAGAGAAAAAAGGGGAATTCTCTTACTCTTAATAGTTGTTGTAAGAGAATTTGTTTGGAAACATGTTTTTTAATTTGGAAAAAAAGTATGTCAAATTTTTGTTGTGAAAATTTAATGAACTCAATATGCTTGCATTTTGGATACTTCGAGGGGTTGGATCATGATGCTAACCATATGTTCTACAGAGAGATTGTGAAGATTATTCGTATATTGACCCACATATGTAAGTATGTAGATATCTACAAATTGTACCACCTGTGAATAAAATATATGTTTTGTATCTCGTGCGAATAAAATCCGATATTCACATGTGCTGGTTTTAGTCTTGACATTGACATTTAAAAATGGCATAAAACGGGAAATTATCTAAATATAGATTTGGGAAGGGGCCAACTATATGATACCCTTCGCCACTTTGGGTAAATATAAGAGATGCACCTGCAACAAGAATCTGATATATGTATATTAATATAAACCAAGTACAACATATGCTCTTTTCTAATAATTTTGGTCGTATGTATATGTACAATAACATGTCAATAGAATAAAAGTAGCACTTTTGGGTGACCGCTGCCATGAAATCAGACAAAATTAAATATTGATGTATATAAAACTGCAGTCGAGTACGTTTATAACGAAAAGTTCTCTATGGTGAACACATTTTCTGGTCCCGAAGTTTTAAGACGTATTTTTCATATAAATATTTACTCTTATAGCGAACTTTTTATATCGAACTGTTTATTCGGTAGCAACCTTCAGTTTTTATTTATTTTAATTCGGTTATAAAAAAGTTCATACAAAAGTTAAATTTTACAATGGCAATCTTTACAAAAAATGTTAGGTTCATCAAAGAAAAAGGGAGTTTCGAAATTGTTGGTGCATATTTATATGAAATCGGACGGAGATACAGGGTGAAATAAAAAACTGCAACGAAGTCAAGCGCCATAATTTTTTTGAATGAAAGCAAAAAATGTCGGAAATAGCGTCAAATTTTAGAATAAGTTTAGATTTCTTCGAATTGGTCACCTTTGGCGCGAATTTTGGCTTTCAAACGGCCAATGAAACCATCACACGCTTCCCGATTGTTGCTCTGCGTTATTTTGGCCATTCCGGCGATGAGGTGATCGACACTTTGGTATTTTTTAGTGCCAACCTTGCTTTCCAAACTACTCCAGACACAATAGTCCAATGGATTGGTATCAGGAGATGTTGGTGGCCATTGTGCGCTGGAAATGAAGCAAGGAACCTCATTTTGTAACCATTCATGGGTGGCGCGTCCACCATCGCACTCAGGATGGTCCTGTTGGAATGTCCAAGGTCTGCGGGGAAAATGTTTGCGCGCGCAAGGCTTTTATACACCTTCCAGAATATTTTCGCGATAATATTCAGCATTTATTCTGATGATATTCGATTAATACGGGCGCTTGAGTTTTGGTGGCCAACCGAAGGTTCACATTTTCAGCCGACCTCTTTGGCAAGTAAACTCGATAATTTTGTTTGTTTACAAACTGCTGGACAACGAATGTTTTCTCATCGAAGAAAACCAAATTCGGCAGTTCACCACTATCACTGGAAAAATTTTAATAGCTTTCGGACGAGTGGCTTAGAAATGACAGCAGTCTGAAGTACCCTGTATATGTGGGAGCTATATCTAAATATGAATCGATTCCAACGAAACGTAACCCACGTCATTTTAGACTCAACCGGACATATGTTTTTAATCAACCAAGATTTTGGAATATCATTTTACAGCCATTTCTGCTGAAAATGCGTCTACGACCATAAAAAAGATACTCATAAAAAATATATATTTTCAAGGTCTATCAAAACGTAGATTTATTAAAAATGTGTTTATAAGGACTCTTATAGGCGTGTATATTTTTTATTTGTTACGGCTATCAAAGGCGTGGATTTATTAAAAATATTTTTTTAGGACTATGTATTCTATTCAGGACTATATATCTTTCAAGGACTATCAAAGGCGTGGATTTATAAAGAAATTTCACCATCCAATGACCTGCAATGCTTGCCGGTACTGGGTACATTGGCTGTATGTAACATGATCTTAATTTAGGTATGTGTTATAACATATATAAATTAGGATTCCGAAATGCTAAATGACAGTTACATCGATAAACAAGTAAAAAAGCGTTAAGTTCGGCCGGGCCGAACTTTGGATACCCTCCACCATAGTTATACTGACAGATACATGCAATGAAAATATAGGGAACATACGAAAAAGTGGGCATATACCGATAATTCTTTAAACCGATTTATGTAAACCATTATGTACACCAAATACAAACTTCAGCAATTTTTAATGGTGATTTTTCCTAAAATCTGCAAGATCCAAAAAGTGGACTGATACTGATAACGCATGGTAGAGTATAAAATCCTCAAACTACTGTAATTTAGATAACAAAGTTATATGAGGCTATGCGTAAAGGGGGACTAATATTGATTACATAGTGTAGGAAAATGGTGAATATTTGGGGATATCATTATATGAGGGCTATGCCTAATTAATGACCGGTATATGCCAATATTGAACCCAATATTTTAATTGTTTATCTCAATTCATTCCTTCAAGAGGTATCACTATATTGAGGAGATGCCTAAATGTCTGCCGATATATTTCATTATCATCATGTTTGAGTTTTCTTTTATCCCAATATCTTTAGAAGGCGGAATACTTACAACAGATGGCTAAATAGTCTTTGTAGGGTAAAAATTGACTATTCCCCGTAACGACTACCCAACCCCAACACACGGAACAAATCAGATAACTATTTTAATATAAAAAGGGGGTTATATGGAGACTACCCCTAAAATATTAATAATTTTTGATGGGGAGATTTGTTACCATATACGACTACAAAATACCAAATTTCGGCGAATTCGGTTAAAAAAACGCGCTCAAGAACCTCAAAATATCGAAAATTGGGGGGAACCTTATATGGGGGCTAACTGAAAAAATTGACCAATATTTATAATTTTTTGTGGAGAGATTTGCTACCCAATAATAACTGAAGTTACTAAATTACAGCCAATTCGGTGAAAAAATCCGGTCAAAACCCCCAAATTGGGGGGTACCCTTATATGAGGGGGGGGGTACCCCTATATGGGAGCTATGCCTAAACGTGGACCGATAAAGCCCATCTTCGAACTTGACAAAAGACGACTCTATGCAAAATTTTGGCGATCTATCTCAATTCGTTTAGACGCTAGAGTGATTACAACAGACAGACGGACATGGCTATATCGTCATAGAATTTTACGCTGATCAGGAATATATATACCTTATAGGGTCAGAAATGATATTTCGATGAGTTACAAACGGAAAAACAAAATTAATATACCCTACATATTATGGTGGGGGTATAAAAATGAGTTTAAAGTTATCTAATATACCGAAAATAGGTCGAGAATTTATTTGTGGGCTATAGCAAAACGTGGACCTATGTATTCAATTTTAAATTAAAAATTTCAAAGTTAAATCTATAGCTACCTTATATATTGAATGGATGTAAATGGCGCACTAAAGATCCCAAGTTTGTCCGATTGACACAAAATATTGCACAACGTGTAATTCGGTTCAAATTTAGATATAGCTTCTATATATGTATGTTTGTCCGATTTCATGAAATTGTGCACAAAATACCTAACGTTTGTCAAATTAAGAAGCGTGGATTGAAGCGGATTGCGCGCTGTAATGCCTATTCATATATAGCTCCCATATATAATTTTGCTTGATTTCATACAACATGATACACCAAAAACCCGATTGAACCAGAATTTCAGATTTCATTTTTCTCCAAACAGCGTTTTTGGGAATGGCGGACACGATAACTCAAAACTACTAATCCGATCGATTCCAAATTTTGGGACGTTTCTCTGTGAGTGTATAGCTAACTAGGATAAATCAAATCGGTCAAAATTATCCTCATTATTTTTTAACTTGGTTTGTGGTAAAAAATAGGCGATTTTCCAAAAATATTTTTTCAAAGGTCTGCC